ATGCTTCGTAAAATATATAGTATACGAAGATATATAAGAGCAACGTGTGTCCTGTTTAACAAATATAAAGCATTCTTAAAAAGGCAAACTTTTTCTACGGGTATTCCTGGCGGACATAGAATAAATTTTTAGAATATTTAAGTATTTTATATAAATTCGATAAACAATTTTTCGCGAATATCTTATGATATGATCATAATAGTTTTTATGAAAACAACCCACGATAATGGTGTACTATATGCAAATGGTCTCACAAAATTAAATTTTTTTCACTTTACAGAATTCACTTTGCAATTACACGATTTTTATTTCTCATGATAAATTATTCTACGAATATTTATTCTCTTTTTAGTTTTTTATTTTACCACTTTTTTCTTGTTTAAATCATAGTGAAATCATAGCTATAAATCATAGAATACATAGAGTACAGTGAAAATTAAAATTTTTTGCATTTATATATGCTCGTTAAAATTACATAACCCATAAATTCCTATAAAAAATAATATCGGTTTTGATTGCCGATAATTTTCCAAATTATTCTGAAATGCTTGGAAAACAATTTTTCGCGTTGCGGAAAAATATTCCGGTGTAAAAGTTCACGGCTAAAGTTACCGAAAGAGAGAAGATTCGCCCGTAGCGGATAAACTTCTTAAGGAGATCGCCGGTATCTTTTTCTTAACTTCTGATTCCTCAACCGTTTTCTTTCGCGGAATAAATATTTGGAAAGTGGGGGGAGGGGAGGAAGTGCATTTTTAATGTAAAAACAAACTATACAAATATGACTTTTTAAATATTTTCACTAAAAGAAGAACGATTAAAAAGTTTTCTGTTATTTGTCAACTGTCAATTGTATATATCTCTCTCTCCCTCTCTCTAACTCCCCTCTCTCTCCCCTTCCCTTCCCAACTCTCTCTCTCTCTCTCTCTCTCTCTCTTAAGGAGATCGCCGGTATCTTTTTCTTAACTTCTGATTCCTCAACCGTTTTCTTTCGCGGAATAAATATTTGGAAAGTGGGGGGAGGGGAGGAAGTGCATTTTTAATGTAAAAACAAACTATACAAATATGACTTTTTAAATATTTTCACTAAAAGAAGAACGATTAAAAAATTTTCTATTATTTGTCAACTGTCAATTGTATATATATCTCTCTCCCTCTCTCTAACTCCCCTCTCTCTCCCCTTCCCCTCCCAACTCACTCTCTCTCTCTCTCTCTCTCTCTCTCTCTCCATCTCTCTCCTCTCTCTTCCAGATTTACGTATTTCATAGATTTTATATTTATTCTTTGTATTTATTCTGAGTCGTTTGTCGTTGCGCTTTATTCTGTCTATACATGCTCTTCGTTTTTTTCTTTCGACGACGAGAAGCTCCTCGCTTTTCGGTAACAAGCGCCAGGCCACACAAGCTGGATACGATTAAAGTTGTTTTTTCAAGAGGCCGGAAGAAGCCATTTATTGCCGTTTGTCGTCGTGCAAGCTGCAAAAAGGGGGTAGAAAATAAAAAAAAGCTGAAAGAGAGAGAGAGAGAAAAAAAAAGAAAGGTGATCCTGGTGTGTGACTTAAAATTGGTCCAGACAAGAGAAAAGGAGTTGGAAAAATACGAAACACAATTCCGTCGCTTTTACGGACAATCCATTCGTAAAATTCCGGCCAAATTCGATTTGAAAGTTTCCACAATCTCATTTGTATTCTTTTATTCAGTGAATCGTCCGTCCGCGTCATCGTGGCTGCACGGTCAACGAGCCGGATAATCTGACATTACATTATGAACACCAGTGATAACCGCGACGATAGCGTGACAGAAGTGATTTGTTTGAGCCGGCAAAGCTAAACTGTTTCACCATAACACCTAGAAATAATTTCTACTCTTTTTGAAATTTATATAATATATTTTTATAATATATTATATAATAAAATTATATATTTGTCATATTATTATATTTTTTATTATTATATAGTTGCAAGCATTAATGTACTTTGTAATTGAATAATTTAAAAAGTATAAAAAGTTTTATATATTATAAACTCAGTTTTTATTTTATGTAAATAAATAATAGTCTATATTAATATATAATATATAAATTTGCAACGAGTATTTTTTTGTAAAAGGTGTAGAAAAAAAAGATATTTAGGTGAGGACATTAAAATGACTCATCCCTTATATTCTATGCCTAAACATAAATTGAAACTCTAATAATGGAAAAAGAAAAAGAGCACAAAGGGACTTTCAGGAAAAATTTAATTGAAATTTTGATTTGATTCTATTTTTTTCTCTGAGCATATTAAATTACAAGTTTACGAAATTTGGAATTTATATAAGAATATTTGACGTTGACATGACGTTACATATGTAGGGTGTCCCGAAATTAAATGTCAAAACTTCGGGAGCGTGTTGGGATCGATAAACTAAGAAAAAAGTCCTTTAGAGACTTGCTCGTTTTTACTTCGTTTTGAAGAAAATCACAAAAAAAGAAACAAAAAAATTTAACCAAAGAGCTTAAAACGACACTAAAATTATTAAGTTTATCGAAAAGTACATGAGATAAAAGTTGTAGAGCATGGAATTAAGGAAAGAGAATGAATTAAAATTCTCCTGAAATAAAATTAGAAGATTAAATAATCTCCGTATTTATTTTTATATTCTCATATTTAATTTTGGGACACCCTGTATAGTATACATCCAACTTAACACGTTTCTATTTTTTCTATAATATACAGATTTTTTTCATGATTATGATGGATTTGATTTGGAAAACTGCAAAATAGGTGGAGAATCTTTAATTGGCATCAGTTGCACAAAGTTACTATTCGAACAGTCCGTGATAAGTATCACGATTACGATATCATTATATCGAGATCGCTCAATTAAATCTTATTCTCTCTCACGAGAGGCAGCTGTGTATAAAGGATAAATCCGGCAGAATCTAATGCTAGCGTTCCCAAAGGTAATTTATAGCCGGCCATTGTATTTCAAATGCCTCGCTCCGGTATAACGGATACCAAGAACCAGAAAGAGAAGAAAGAAGCTGAAAGATGCGAAAGAGAGGCGCAACAGGACGAAGCAACAAGGAAGAAAGGGAGGCGATCTCGAAGATAGGTACGTCTGACAGACTGGTATGGATTGTGAAAGGAGGCGGTTAAGAAGAGAGAGAGTTGGAAGAGAGAATAGTAGCTGGCTGCTTGGTTGACTTGAACTACTGGCAGCATTGCGTACTTTTCTTATTCAACTGTTCTTTACTGCCTTTCACATCTTTCCATCTTACTTTATTTTATTTATTCAAACATATACACACGAAGGTATATATGTAGTATACTTGCATATTCGCGTGCGTATCTTATTCCTATTGTCTTCAATCAATTTAACGACATTTGGGTATACAAAATGGATATACAGGATCTTCCCCAAGATAATTGTCAATCGTAATCGCTTCAATGAATCTCAAGTTTGATCCTTCCTTAATCGAGATTGATTATTTGATGTGCTGCACCCTTGTTGAAACAAAATAATTTATATGATTAACCAAAAAAATTTAGAATTGTACAATATAGTATATTTAAATATATATAGTCAATTCGAGCAAATAAACATAACAAAATTTCATGATATATTTTTAAATTAGAAATAATCAAATTGCGAATACATAATACAAAATAGCAACAAATGTGATTGTATAATATATCTGTAAATGTATTTATATTATTTAGTTAGATTATTAATTAATTAATTTTTTCAATATTATTATTATATATTTATATTATTAAGTATTTATATTATATTATTAAGTTT